TGAAATTGCATAACAAGAAACCATGTTACAATTGACGATACCAACAATATTCCAAGGATTTACATTGTTTGAAAAACCAGACTGTATGTGCGATTGTTTACGATGTTTATTTTTAGCAAAATAAGTAGACGATTCATTATTTTCTGAACGAGGCAGCGATGTAACGTCTTCAGCTAATTCATCAAACTTTCTTTTATTCTGATTGGATTTCGAATGGTATTGCATATCGATACTGAGATCGGATAATGAGTTAAGGCATTGATTATTATTTCCACATTGCTTATTTTGAGAATCGGTGACTTTTGATAATATTGACCTAATTGGGAATTTCACAACGAATTTTGATTTTGGTTTTTTAATGTCAATACTATTCAATTTCATTTTCGAGTCATTTATTTTTCTGTCAGTTATTTTTACAATTGATATCGGATCATTTTTCGAAAATTCCATATTATTGTTACAGTCGTCCACATCATTTTTAACTCCACAATGACTATTATTTACAGGTTATTCATCATTAAAATCGTTGACTTTAGATATCATTGCACTTGATCTAGTTGGAAATTTCAATACGAATTTTGATTGTGGTTTTTCTATGCCCACCTTTTCTAATTCTATTTTCGAGTCAAAAGTTTTTCTTTCAGTTATTTCTACAGCAGATATCATATCATTTTTTTGGAATTCTGAACTATTATTACCATTAGTGATTTTTAGGATATTAGAAGATTTAATTGGAAAGATTTTAACAGACTTGAGATTTGATTTGTCATTATCAATGCTATTCAGTTTCTCTGTGGACTCATAAATATTTTTATCACTTTTTTTAGCAGTTGGGTCACTAATTTTTTCCAGAAAAATAATGTATGCCCCCTCCTGCCGCGGAAATGTAGAACATAGACAAACGCTCAAGTCGTCAACCATTCTCCAATAGTTCGCTTCGCGAAGCACACTAGTATAGTGCCCATATGGAAAACTAGAAACGTAAAATATTGCGCTTCTCACTCTATACATATTTTCGGAAATGAATATTATTTCTTTTTCAAAAGATTCCAATTCGAAGTTGGTAATTTTTTTACTTTTACCTTCATTGTTAAATTCGAATAACTTCAATTTTAAAATTAAAATGTCATTTGATGTTTGAACAGATTTTCTTATACATTTTTGATTACCACATTGTTTATCGCACGGTAAATCCAAGTAAGTCCATTGACCAAAGTTACATTCAATAATTTTTTGGAGACTCGAATGGTGCATGTTGTTTGGAATGGATAATGGAAGTATGTAATTGTATCCCGATTCAGAATTACGTAGAATATCACAAGATTTACAACCTACTTCTGTAGTAAATTTGAATGCAAGACTTGCTTGCATGTTTCTCGATTTACGACATATTTCTACTATGAAATCAGCAGCATCTGCGTGTTCATTCAAAATAAATTTATAACCAGCAAAAGACCTAACCTTTTTTATTGACAGGCTGTCACCAGAAGCATACGCCTGAAAAGCCTCTTGCAATTCGTTATTCTCTGTATTGTTAAAAAACTGTAATCTGATCGAAGGGCAATGAAACAAGCTCTGCAAAGCTGCCGTCGCGTAATTCGAACGTTTATCTTTGTTTTCAATTCCAATAATTTTCCAATCACTAGAAAATGAACTCAGTAAATTTTCCGACCTTTTGTAGTTTTTAAACGAAACGCTTGAATCATTCTTTTTGTTTAGTTCTATAGTTTGTACAAAGCTTTGTTTATCGTAATTCAACAATTCTGGAAAAGGCTTGAGTTTATTTGACCAAAACATGGCAATAAGATGTTCTCGCATTCGTGTTGTATCGTATAGAATGGTACTTGGAGATTTTTTGAAATACAAAGACGTCGCAAAAGCTATAGCGAAAACCCCACAATCTACTGCATTATTTTGGTGTTGGACTTTTGGAAACGATATGCGTAATTCATCGAAATGAGAAAACAATTTTTTTAGAAATATTTCATGGCTACTATGTAACCGTTGTTGATTCAATGAATTATAAATGAAAATTTGCTTCGTATTGTAGTATAAACAAACCCAATATCCATTTTTACACTTACCTTGAAAGCAATTGTTATTGCAACTATGCAATATCTGTAAATGAGGTAAGTGTTTAGGGAGTGAGTCGAATCGTTTACTTTGTGGATTTTTAACAAATACTGATGTATAAAGTGTGGTTTTAGGCTTGAAATTTGAACTTAATTGTAATATACTATGGAATTTGTCGATGTGAGAATCTTTGAGACATGCTGATGGATCTCGAACTATTAGTTCTTCATCTTTTGTGAGAGGGAAGGGAGCCATTTTCATAAATAGTATGTATCTTCAACAATTTATTTATTTTATAGCAAACAATTTAATAAATTATAATTTACAAAATATTGCAATAATAAAATATCTAATTATGATAAATATTGCACAGTGTTCAGTTTTTTTATTTTGTATTTGGCGCTTAAAGCAGCCTGGATTTAGCGCATTAGGCAGCTTTTTATTTGGCGCTATTAGCAGCCTTATATTCGGCGCTTTTAGCAGCCTTATTTTATTACCAAACTCACCAATATCGGTTTCTACTGTTCTATACAAGGTACCTGTAATTTCACAAGAATATATTTATATTAGAGAAAATACAAGAATATATTTATATAATCAGAGAGGAAATATTTTAAAGAGGAAAGTAAAATATTCATATTTTATTAACGTCATAGTAGCGAATAATAAAAAGTAATTCAATGCATATAGTATTAAAAACAGATATACTTGAAAATTTGAAAAATGAAGTATTATTGATGAAATGGTATCCTGCGATACGTGGAAACTGTGATTTTCAAAGATACCAAATCAATAATGAAAATTTATTATGAAATCAACAATGAAAAGTTGTTATGAAATTATTGTTGAAAAACAAATTTCATGGTAACTATATATAAAAACATTATACTCACTTCTGAACCTTCGAAGTACTCCTTTTTCTTTTGTAATTACTTGTCTCAAAATCTGAAAAAAAGATGCAGGTATATAGAATTTGGAAATTGGTTAGTAATCATTTTGAAGCATTGCATTACTTTTATGCAAAAGTTTTACATATTCAATTTCAACACCAAAAAATGTTAGCTCCTAAATGAGTTGCCGTTACTTTTTTGAAAATTTTGTCAATGAACCATTGAAACCTACTCTATTGTCCCATTGGCTTTGAGATTAATTGTTCATTAAAAAGCTTTCAGGGACCCTGACACCCTTTATTGTTGGTAAGTTATGAAAAAAATAATCATGTTGACGTATCTTTATTTGGCCATTCATTGCAAATAAGGTGATGATGTGATCGATTGTAGAATTAAGGTATGCTTTTATCAGTGGTACATTTCATATTTGCCATGAATTGCCAAGCCAAATTTTGTCAACTTAATCATTTTTGTATGACTTACCAAAAATAAACAATGTCAGTGTCCATGAAGGATTTTTAATCAACAATTGATCCTGAAGTGAGTGAGACATTGAGTTGCTGTAACTTTTTTTGACAATTTTATCAATGAACCATTGAAATCTACTGTATGTATTGTCCCATTGGCTTCAGTATTAATTATTCATTATAAATCCTTCACGGACCCTGACATTGTCCATTGATATGGTCAATCATAAAAAAATCATTAAACTGTCGTATCTTGATTTGATGATAATTTATGGCAATTGAGACAATGATGTGATTAATTGTGAAATAAAGGTATGCTTTTGTTAATAGTACATTCATATACGTAACTTTGTTTGGTTATTCATGCTGAATAATATATAATTTACATTTTCAATTTAGATGTGTTATTTTTAATGTAAGTATAAAATATTCTTCTATTGATCAAGGAAAATATATTTATTAATTGATAAAAATATCGTTCATGCATGTATTTATAAATAGATATCCAATTACTATTTTCAGCTGGGATTGCTTATAAAATTGGCTATTTATATTTTGCTTTACTCACTGAACTATTGACAAGACCAGAAGGCCAACAAACAGATTTATCTGAATTGAATGATGGATGGATGAACAGCTTTCTCAAGACCACAAATCTGCAAATCATAGATATATTTGTCATTATTTCACCGAACTTGCAAAAATTATTATTCTACTATATAATCGAAAAATACATACTCGAATACTCAGAGCACACTGATTGTCGCCAAAATAACGGCTACGTATTTTCAAGAATGTTAAAAGTAAGAAGACGGAGATTGCTGTTTGTTTTGCTCCTTAATTTTGATTTGACACATGTGTATGCCACCGCCATGGAATATACACTATATACAGTAAGTAGATGCTGGAGAGAGCGAGCGGTCTGAAGTGAGGAACTTGCCGAAGTGTGATATGCACTTTATCAAACCTTATGTCGTTGATTGTTTGTTGAATTTTTGATTGATTAATGTAAAATTTTATTCTGAATGCCGTTGCTTCGCTGGATGAGCTAACGATTAAATTATCGACGAAATTTCTTTGGCAACTTTTTTGGTAATTTTTTAAACTCGATTCACATCACTTACACGCATGTGTTGTGATTTGTTTTATTAGGTTAGGCAATGTACATGTATGTGTACGTATACATAAAATTTTATTTGCTACTCAGAAGAATAAAATTTTTGAAGAGTTATAAAATATTCTAATTTTTAGTAGTAGTAAGTATAAATAGATCACACGAATTTTAAAACCAAGTAAAACATGTTTATAAAATATATTTATAATCAGTTGTGATTATTTACTTAATGCTCTCAGATCTGTCATGATTGCAGTGACATTCTTATATTTCAATCATGGATATTTGTGCATTATTTGTTTTAAAAAATTGAAATTAATTGTTTGTTTGCAATATATTTCTTTAAAATTAATCAAGTCAAGTTATCAGTATTTATTGTTTTAATATGACTTGCTCATTATATTGTAAAAAAATTGAAAAAACTTATGTAGTTTTCATGGTCATATTTATTTGCAGCTAAATATGCAACGTCAAGACAAAAAAACACGAGGAACTAGAGGAGGTAAACATGCCAAACAGAAAACGCAGTTTGGAAGGATGGAAAGTTTTCTTTTGGCATTGGCACGAGAGTGCACTAATACAACAACTCTGAAGACTAATGTTGAATCCACAAATTCTTCTGGAGAGAATGCTCCAACACCAAGCACCAATCTATCTCAGATTCCATTAAAAGATATTTCTTTGGTACAGTCTAGCCATCTAGATACTAATTTAGAATCAAAAACTTATTCTAATGAAGGGAATGCTCCAATATCAAGCTCCAATCTGTTTGATCAGAATCCATCAACGAGATCTACTTCTTTGATACAGATTAGTCAATCATCAAGTAATTTATCTTCAACTAATTCATATAATAACCGTAAGTTTATATAATACTATAGATGGATAAATTTATCTAACTTATGACTTTCTAACTATTGAATGTCTTTTGTTAGTATAATATTTAAAAAAATATGTTAATTAAGTTGAAAATGAACTCTTTTGTTTCAGGTAAATCCTTTAGAGGAACTCGAGCTGGCAAAATTACTAAAGAATATCACCACGCCAAAAGCTTCTCTATCTTCTTGTGGAGTTTGTTGAATGAATGTCATTCCAGACATAATACATGAAATATTAAACTAATAAAAACAATCATGTGAGTTGAAAAAATGAGTCAAGCATAGCCATTCATTAAAATAGTATGTAATTGATAATAACAGTATGTTTTTTATTTTTCCAGGTTTTTTATTATTTTGTAAAAAAACAGTAGTACTGAGATAAAAAAATTTCAGAATGGTGTGTTTTCTAAATCTTTATAAAAAAATGTTTGTAAACAATAATGTGAAAAAAATTCTAAATATGAGGAAAAATTGAAATTATACTGTAAAAGTAACTTATCAGCAGTAATAAAAAAATCTAAATACAAATCATTAATAAAGACACTGTATGTAAGTAGAAAAAAACTAATTTTGTTTTAATTATCGAGCTAAATTTGAAGGAAATCGATATAGATAAAAATAATACAAAAAAATACCCACTTTAAGTTTTCATAGCAAATTAAAAAAAATCACGTGTATAAGCGGTATATTCAAAAGGTGATGTGAACATTCCTAGCGGATTTATTTAGAGCTATACGTCAATTGTTCTCGATCGTGCTTGTACACGTTGTTTTGACAAGCGAAGGTTACCTGCAAAAGATTAAAGATAAATGTGATCAAGACTAGGGCTAATTTATATAAGTTAGAATCGCCAATTCGTGAAGCAAAAAGGCAATTAGTATTAATATTAAATACTGGAAACCGCTTAAATCTTTAATTTTATCAGTGAATTAGAAAGCTTTTTATAAACTTAACAAACAACAAAAAATGGATGAAGTTGCTCAAATAAATGCCTTATTAGGTGAAGATAATCAGAACAACAATCTAGCAGGTTATTGTTATTCAATTTTGTAATAGTTTAGTTTTTAGTTTAATATGCTACATATGAAAAAGTTGAATTCATTTACAATACTTTTTGATTTGAATAATATAAGTAAATATAGTAATCTAGAAATAATTTTATCTGACGTTTCCATTTTATATATTGTTCATATTGCTATTGCTATGCAATACTTTTTGATTTCAATACTAAGAAGTAAATACAGTAAACTGTATTTCCGACGTTTCCATTTTATTCATTGTTTATTGCTATCAATACTATTTTTTGCAGATCAATACTATTTTTTGCAGATAATTTTCAACAAATGGATATTGATAACCATAATGAAGAATTGGAAAGACTTGCCAGAGCTGGTAATGGACAGCAAAACCGAGTTCAAATTCGTCCACCGAACTTACAAGAAAATGCTCAAGTACCTGGTATGTGTATTTAATTTTTTTCCCTTAAACCAATAGATTTTTCATATATGTTTTATTTATATGACCAAGCTTAAAACTTATTCTCATCTAAACTGTGCACAAATAAATTAGTTCTGTTTTCTATAAATTTTAGTGCAGCAGATTCAGGATCATCCTGTGATTTTTGGAGTTGACAATGAGCATTTACATGTACATCAAAATGATGGTATTGGTCATCATGTTCATCATCCTGAACAACTCAATGAAATTGGACATGCAAATCAAGGAATTCCAAACGATCCGGCAATACCAAATGTGCAAGCTCAAGTCAATGACCAAGTTCAAGGTATATAAGTAATAATACATTTTTGTACGGCTGCTCTTTTATAATAATTTGTAACAATAGAATCTGCAAAACTTTTTTTACAATTTTTTATTCTATTTAATACAGCTAACAGAAATGCTGTCCCAAATAATGCTGGTCGTGCTGTTGAGAATGCTGGTTTTGCTGGACAACAATTAGGTAAGCAACGAATTCATGTCCTCATTTAGTGGCTCAAACTTATACTAAAGAAATTTCTTTCAAATAATTTTGCAGGGCCTTTGCAAAACATCCCTGTAAACCAGCAAAATAATGTGCGCATGCAAGGTTCAGTTATGAGACTAAACAGAAACCGCAATAATAACAGACGTAAGTTTTGATATTATTTTATATGACATCCTCCTATATAATTTAATTGTAATATATATATTTTATACAATAAAATTTGACCTATAACAAATTGTTCATCGTTATAGGTACTACTCCCTATGCAGCTGTGAACTCTCAGATGAGGCGTAATGCCAGTCGCATGGCTACATTTCTATGGAATATGGCAAAGGAGTGCACTTACGTGCCTAACAGAAATGACGATGACCCAGACAATCAAGAGAATAATAATAATAATAATAATAATTGATTCGTATTAATCTGTAAATAAAGGAATTCATAAATATATATAAATATAAATATAATATAATATAATAATAAAAAAATCAACACAAAAATGAATAACTACGATATCTTTCATTATGCTCTCTTTTATTATGATCTTTGATTATGCTGACAATATTTTTCATGATGCTCCGTTCAAAATACTAACAATTCCATTTTTTTCAATCATTTTTTGAAATTCACTTTATGATACATTAGTCAAAGGTCAATCCGAAGGGAGGTATACATTTGTTTACTGGTACTGGAAAGTTTTGCATTCGAGTAGTATTGTTTTGAAGTATTTATTATAAAATCACACAAACAAAAAAATCACACAAACAAATCAAACAAAAAAACACAAACACATATACATATACATACATAAACGTATGTACATGAGACATGAGATAGATGGGACACTGAATATGCGTATAACATAGTATTACGCGTACGTATAATACTCATGGGATATGCGTATAATACGCGTGAGACAAAAAAATTGGTAGAACAAAAAGCTGCTCAGACAGTGAACTATCAAAAAATCTTGTTTTACGAATAACTTTGTGAAAATTGTATCAATCGAACTAAAACATTTTTTAAATGAAAGATGGTAATCTCAATGATCGATTCTACCATATAATACATGCCCATATCGCTCGTGAAAATAATGAAACGATGAAAAATGCTTTTGGCCACGCCCCTTTTAGCCAATGTATTGTATATAGTGTACGGTGCGCCCGCAGTTCGCAGTTATTTCATAACCTACTCGCCTGCGTGTCGCTACCGCGACACTTGATATTGAAGGTCAAGAAGAAATCATTTTACTGACTGCTAGTTATGAGATAGAAAATATAGAAAGGAAATCTAGTAAATTTTTGTGGAAAAATTATCACTCTATGATTGCACATAAAAGCTATGATATCATAATGGGTATTGTATACAACAACAAGAATGTTAGACAAAGGTATATTAATAGACCGAAATGTTAGACAGTGATCAGTCAAGATCGAGCTATCTCAACGCTTATACCTCGCAACATTCCGTTCCTGAAAAGTTTAAAACTAAAAGTTACTGAAAATCGTCTTCGTGGTGGAAAGTATCTTGCATATTAGTGTATTATTCATAGCAAACTAGACGAAATTCTAAACATTCATTCAAGTGTCATATTTGATGAGTCAATAGCTCATTATGATCAACACATCACCTTATTCTTTATAACGTATAATAATAATGATGAAGTTCGTATCGGAATTCAACATCAGGATTTATTCTTACTTTCATCTTGCAGTATGATTCGTCTATGCGGTCGATTAACTAAGGAAAATGGGAAAGCAGTAAAAAAAATAAAATGTTTAATAACGCCATCTGTCATTTGTTTGAAGATATATCGTACGATATGAGATAAATGCTATTTTTTTTTTTATTTAAGCAATTTTAATCCGTACAAGATTATTATGCTGCAAAGTTTATACAGAACATGAAGTTATACATTTGGCTTACAGTGGAAACACTTATAGGCTAATATTTTAGACGCATGAAGAGAATACAATAGATTTCGCCGCATTACAGTGTAAGGTTACAGTCTTTTAAGAACAGGAAGATGGTTTTACAAATTTTGGTACTCGGATTCGACAGTAAGACGCTAGTGGCGGGAGGGGGGTGGAGCTTCATGTGCTTGAGGTCTATTAAGAGCTTTGTTCTAGGTTTGTTGTACCGAGGGCAATGCCACAGGACGTGGTCCAGGTCTTCTGGGTCAGTGCAATTGGCAGATGTTAAGATTAATTTGTGGAGAGAGGCGTTGAGGCTATAGTGGCCCGAACGGCATCTATTTATGGTGGTAATGATTTCTCTAGGTAAATTAAGTCTTGAGAACCATGGCTTGGATTGAGAGTTGAAAAAATTTGCGAAGTAGTCTTTACCCTTTGTCTGAGCTTGAGAAATTAGAACAGCGTTGGTGTTGGAAATGCATATTTTTTTGTGATTTTCTTGAAAGTCTGTATACGGGATTTTATAAACGCTTTCGGGTTCTAGCAGAGCTGCTTCCTTGGCTAGCTCGTCGGCTCTATCATTTCCTTGGATACCAGTATGAGAGGGGATCCATATGAAATAGATACTATGGGTGCTGAGGCTAGTGAATTCAAGAGCTTTTTCTTTTATTTCGTGTATGTAAGGATTAGTTTGAGCAGACATTTTAGCATTTTTCAAGGCAAGTAGAGCACTCAAAGAATTGGAGACAATAGAATAATTGTGAGTAGGATCGCTCAAAGCAATGTTTAGAGCTTGAAGAATGGCAACGCATTCGTCAGTGAAGATGGAAGCACTGTTGTGCAGACTTGAGCTCGCGGAACTGTTTGTAGATGGGCAAAAACAGGCGCTGCCTGTGGAGTGAGAATCAGAAAATTTGCTGCCATCAGAGAATATAGCGATGGAGCCATTTTCCGTAATTAGTTCGTTAATTTGGAGTTCACGATCATCGGAGTTTTTTAAAGAGAAGCCTGTGTCTGTGTCGATGTTCATGCTGAATGTGATTGTGTTATATTCGTGAGTGCACATACTATAGTTGGCGGCGGTGTAAAGGATATCTTCAATGATTGGTAAGTTTTTGGTGCACAAGGATATAATACGTTGGTTTTTAGAGAGACGGTGATTTTGGTTTAGCAGCTTTTTCTTGAAGCGGTTAATTTTTTTGTTAGTTTGGAGTTTGTTGTTAGACATAATTTTGTACAAGTAACAGTTGCATAAAAATTTTGCTCTTTCTTGGATTAGGAGGAGTTTGGATTCAGCTAAGAGAATGTTAATAGGGGTGCTTCTCCTGAATCCGAGGGAAAGTCTAATGGCTGCAAACTGTATCCTTTCAATTTTTTCGGTTTCGCTTATTTGCGTTGGAAAGTAGATAAAAATGCCATATTCAAGACAGGAACGAACATAACTTTTATACAAGACCAGCAAGGTTTCTGAGTCTGCACCCCACCACGTGCCTCTTACAGATTTTATAATGTTTAAAGCTCGCAAGCTCTTAGCGCGCACTAATTCAATGTGTTTTTTGAAATTTAGTTTGTAGTCGAGTACTATACCTAAGAATTTGGCAGAATCGCTGGATTTCAGAGTGACATTGTCAATGGTTATTTCTGAGGAACCTGGAGAGATATTTTGGCTGTTAAAGTGCATATAAATAGTTTTGGTCACGCAAAATTCAAAGCCAAGATCAGACAAGCGAGCATGGATTTTATTTATAGCTTTTTCTAGAAGCTTTCTTCTTGATTTGATCTTTTGGCTGCCGTACACTGCGATATCATCGGCAAATTGCGATACGACTATGCTCTTCGGAAGACCGTTGACAATGTCAGCTACGTAGATACAGTACAGAAGAGGGCTTAAGACTCCTCCTTGTGGAACGCCTCTATTTACCGTTTTAGTTGTATTTCTCAAACTGTCAGCGTGGATGATTTGTTCGGTTAGTAGAAACTGGGCAAACTGAACAAGGTTAGAAGGGCATCCGATATTGGCGAGTTTATCTAGAAGAAGGTTGACTAAAACTTTATCAAATGTACCACTGACGTCTAGAAATGCAGCTAGAACACTGCTCTTGTTAGCGAAGGCCTCTTCGACATATACAAGAAAATTAGTTAAGTTATCCATTGTGCATTGACCTTTGCGAAACCCTGTTTGGCTGCTAGGAAGAAGATTGAAGTGCTCAATCCACCACTGCATTCTGTTTTTGAGCATTGTTTCGAACAACTTACACATATATGATGTGAGCGCTATGGGGCGGACATTTTTTCCATCGGCTTTATTTATAAAGTGAACGTAAGTGTCTTTCCAGAGCTCAGGGTAGCTGTTAGTCGTATACATTTCGTTGAATATATCTAGTAGAATAAGTTTGTATTTAATAGGAAGACGCTGTATACAGTCGAAGTCGATTCCATCTATACCGGGAGAAGATTTAGCATTTTTGTTTTCGAGAGCCACATTAAGTTCCGTAAAGTCAAAGGGGGCTCTAAGAAAGTTGTTCTCATCGCAAGTCGGTAGTTGGTTGGGGTCGGTAGCGCACCACGGAGGACTAATTTTGTTCAAGGCTATATCAATTTTTGATTTAGTTTGTAGATTTTCAGTATAGTGGTCAGGCTTTATTTTACACCATTTGTTTTTTAAAATTTTACTGGTATTCCAAACATAAGTGTTATTTGTTCTAAAGTTAATTGAGCTAGCAAATGATTTATAGTGAGCCCGTTTTTTCTTTTTAAACATATTAGTTGTCTGGGCACATGTTCTTTTATACGAGATAAAATCATCAAGCGTTTTAGTGAAACGCCAGCGTTTGAAGGCAGCTGTTCTAATTCTCTTTGACTTATCACATTCCGAGTCCCACCACATTACCGGGTTGCGATGAGATTTATTATTGACAAACTTTTTTTTGGGAGTGCTGTTTGTTATCGCTTCTGTTACAATTTCAATAAAAACTTTGTATTTTTCGTTAGCTGTTAAATTGTTATATTCGTCTGAGAATAGTTTGAAAAAGTTTCCGTCAAGGATAGCATGGACTTTATCCCAGTCTGTTCTAACTGATTTTAAATTGAAAGATTTCTTGCGGTATATATTTTTGGTGACAAGCGTGTTTATAAAAATGGGAAAGTGGTCCGAGCCCCAGGTATCTTTAGCTAGTTCAAAATTTATTTTATCCGTAATATTAGGACTTGAGAATATGAGATCGAGATTGGATGATGACGTGCCTTGGACGCGAGAGATAGTATCGGTATTATGAAGAAAAATATCTGTTTTATTTAAGCTTTCAAGTAGCCTTTACCGTTAATATCGTCGTGTTGACAGTTCCAAGCTTGATGGTGCGAGTTGAAGTCGCCCAAAAAAACAGTGGATTCATCTCTAGCTGTGTTATTAAAAATTTCATCCCACTGCGCTTCAGTGAGTGAAGTACCTGGAACTCGATAGCATACAATTAAATTAAGTACGGGGGTAACATTAGTAATA